AATTCAAAATAAAATTAGACCTGTCATGACCTAACTCAACCCGGCCATTTACACGCCTAACTATCACTCAACCAGCATTAATTAATATGTGGGACATTTGTGAATTACTTGTATTAATTAATAATTTTGTTCTTTGCAGATTTCAACAGGTGTTGGCTTGGCTTTAGGAATAGTGCAGTTGATCTTATATTTTATTTACTGTGACAAAAAGATATTAAATAAGAAGACATCTGCTACTGATGAGTCCCTACAGAATATGGGCAATGACTATAGCAATAATGTTAAGTGTTACAATGATGAGAAGCAATCAAATTTTCATGAGCAAGTCTAGACAAGTTATGAAATCAAGTTCAATATGCAACTCAAAACTTGCTGATTTTTGTGTAAAATCTCTCTCTTTAGATTTTATTAACATTTTGATGTACTTGAATAATATCATATTGTAAAAGCATAAAAGTATGTCAAGAATGATTAGATATCTAAATGAAATATGTATGATTATGCATTATGTTCACACTGTGATTGCTTACATTAAAGATTATTTAATGTTTATGGTTATAAATATTTATATATATTCCATGAATTTCTTAACACATTTCATGATCTGGTCTGCACTTTTTGATGAAGAAGCTTCGGATTGATCACCTTATTTTATCATATTTTCTAAAATATCTATCATTTGAGAAAATTATAAAAATTTCTGTCTTGGATATACATTACTTAACGCAATATATTGATCGGGTACTTTAAGCGATGAATCGAACATTAAGTAATGTATTTAAAATTGAGACACGATTATCGAGATATATTCAAAATTGAAACGTGATATATCGAATGTATCTAAGGTGTTTTTGTAATTTGAAAAAGATTAGGGATAATTGTAAAATGTAATTAACTTTTAACAAGATTGGTGTAAAATTTCCCAATAAATAAAGCTAGTAATTTCGCATTTTCTAAGTAACAATTTTTTTAGTCTATTTATTAACTTTATTTTTTAAAAAGAAAATAGTTAGCTAATATTATTATAGTATATTATACTTTGTATATATATTTTTTTTTAAAAAAAAACAGAAATGGAGGAGAAGAAGTCCTAATCTAAAACTAATTCCCCCCCAATCTAAAACTAATTCCCTCTAAATATTTTCAAAACAAAACCTAGGTTTCCCATATGAATCTTCAACCAAATCACAACTTATACACGGAAAAAGAAAGGAAAAAAAGTACTATTGTTATATTATTTTAAACGATCGAACACATATCTGATTTTATAGTTTGTTTAAAAAATCTTGGCTCAATAAAGGTTCGTTTTTTTCCCTATTTTATTTTTCTGATTTTTATTATATATTATACTGTTTGACTCTATTTTTATCATAGTTTGGCTCAATAATGCTATGGATTATTTGTTGTTATTTTGTGAATGATTGACACCCCAAATTATCGATCATTAGAATTTGAAAATTTGAACAATTTTTCATGTTTTATTTATCCTTTGACTCTAATTCTTCATATTGAAACTCATCATTTCCATTTACCATTGCCTTGTACAGCATGAGCTTTCCTTCTTTACTTAGGTAATTTGCTTTTGACTTAACACGTAAATATTCTCATTTAATTTGGTCTTATGCTTTCTAATTTTAGATGTGCATAAATAAATATTAAAACTTGTATAAATTTGAACAAATAGACACATGCGCTGACGTGACATAATACATGTAGAGACCACGTTAGATTTCTTGTAGGATATGAATTGCCACCTAATTAGATGTCAAGTAAAACGCATATGTTTATATGTTCAACTCTATACAAATTTAAGTGTTTACTTATACGGACCCAAAAAGAAAAGAATATAAATATCATATGACAAAGTTAAAGCTTTTTACTTTTCTAGTAGTGAGTGATCATGATGATATCTTTATAATAAGCCACGCAGTTATGAATAATTATTGGTGAGAATTTTCCCTTTTTAAGTACTCCATATTCTTGATTTAATTACTCCTATTTATTTTGAATTAAAATATCATCTCCTCTTTATATTCAACTAACTTGCTCATAGCTTGTAGAGTAATCAACAATATGAGGGGTCTTGTACACACTATACAATTTGTTTTTGGGATTCTTGGTGAGTTTATTTCACTTTAATTGATTCATTTCCATATTTATTTTCTTTGTATATTTTCCTCTTGAATTAATTAATTTTTGGTTGAGTTTCTCTTCTTCTTTTTTCCTGCTAATTAACAGGAAATGTTGCCACTCTCTTTCTCTTTTTGGTACCCACGTAAGTATATTTCTCAACAACACGATCAGAATTTCTATTATAATTTATACACATTAATAAATATAAATCATTTTAATTTTTAATATATTTTATTTGATTGAATTTAGGCATACATTCAAGAGGATCATCAAGAACAAATCAACGGAACAATTCTCTGGCATACCTTATGTTATGGCATTTTTGAACTGCTTAATTAGTGCATGGTAACTATCTATACTCATGCAGCAAATTTCTTTTCAAATTTTGATGCATATAAATGGACTTTAATTATTATTTTTTGGGAAAATGCGCAAGTACCCTTCAACCTATGCCCAAAATTCCATAGACATACTTATACTATACTAAGATCCTATTACCCCTGAACTTATTTTATAAGTAATTTGCTACCCTTTTTCGGCCTACATGGCACTCACTTGAAGAAAAAAAAGTCAACCAATGTTGGGCCCACAAGATAGTGTCACATAGGCTGAAAAGGGGTAGAAAATTATTAATAAAATAAGTTCAGGGATGTAATAGGACCTTAGTATAGTATATGTGTGTCTCTTTGATTTCGGGCATAGGTTGAGAGGGTAGTTGTGCATTATCGCTTATTTTTTTAATAAAGTTATTGATTTAATGAATGAATTAGCAGGTATGGTCTGCCATTTGTAACATCAAACAATATTCTGGTTGCAACAATCAACGGGACTGGAGCTGCAATTGAGTTAATATATGTGCTTATATTTTTATTATATGCGCCCAATAAGCAAAAGAGAAGAATCTTCGCAATATTTGTATTAGTGGTCGTTGCTTTTGCTGCAGCTGCTGTTATCTCAGTGCTTTTTTTTCATGGTAAAAATAGAAAGCTCTTTTGTGGCATTGCTTCCACGGTTTTCTCTATCGTTATGTATGCTGCTCCTCTGTCTATTATCGTAAGTACTCTCAAATACTCCTCGATATAATCTCACATATTTTTGGTAATATTATACACATTTTTAATTTTTATTCAGAGACTAGTGATCACGACCAAAAGCGTGGAGTACATGCCATTTCTCTTATCATTTGCCGCTATCCTATCTTGCACTAGCTGGTTTATCTATGCCATACTAGGAATGGACCCATATATTGGGGTAAGTACTTCTTTCGAGAACATAAGTAATGAAAGTTTAGATGAAACTCATATGAATTATGAATTACTAGTAGTAGTAATTGGTGAATTTTGTTACTATGCAGATTTCAACAGGTGTTGGGTTGACTTTAGGAATAGTGCAATTGGTCTTATATTTCAGCTATTGTGACAAGAGAATTTTAAATAAAAAGACATTTGCTGTTGAAGAGTCTCAGAAGAATATGGACAATGACGTTAAGCCGTATGATGAGTCAATACATGAATGTCCATATGTGAAAGTCTAGACAAGTTAAAACGGAGGACCAAGTTCATGGCTTGATGATTTTTGTTCAGAAACAGTTTGTTTAGATCTATTATATTGGCATTTTCATGTGCGCAGACAGTATTGTAAGAGCATAAAAGCATAATCTTCTGCTTTACGTATTTGTTGTTGTAAATTGATCAAGGAAATGACTATGCATTTATTCATTCAAGTACTTTTATAGTATACAATAACTTGTTAAAAGATTTACCTTTCTATATGAAAATTAAAAATAACACGTAACCCCAATCACACATATAATATTGAAATATTTAATATGCTCACTAGATACATTTAATAGTTAAATATGATCTTCTGAATTTGTGCTACAACAAGTCCAGTTTTTTTTTGTTCTCGTTGACTTTGCTAGCTAAATTATTCAGTTTGACGTTTTGCTATATATATATTGTTCTTCAAAGAACAATGTCAATCTTTAGTTTTTATGTAATGAGTTGCCTGCAAAATTACCTTGAAGCTATATTTAGCTATCTTAAAACGTATTAATAGAACATCAAATCCCAGCGAGTTTCTATAGGACCAAAAAATGTTGCCTTTAAAATCTGAATTTGACCACTATTAACTATATTCTTATTTAATACTAAGGGTAGTATGAGAAAAAAAAACCCTTAATTTGAAAAATGAAAAATCAAAACATTTAACTTAATATTTTTTCAGTGGATATAAACTTGCTCGTGTAGTTTGGTAGGCTTTTTTTAAGTATCTAATAATTTTGCTTCTGCTCGTTGTTGGTGCAGCTTTTCTAACTATTCCGAAACAATCTTTCTAGGAGAGATAATTTACATATTTTTGTCAAATCCTTCTATTTTTACGTACGGTTGGAATCGTACCATTTCGATGTGTTCTAATTCTTTCGACCAAGAGAGGTTTGATGTTTTTCAATCCATTGTATTAATTCCACTTCCTATTCGTGGTATGTTATTTATGATCTCGACTTATGATTCAATTGTCATGTATTTAGCTATTGAGCCTCAAAGTTTATATGATCGCAACATCAAAAAGAAAGTCGACTCAAAATATATGATCTTAGATACATTCCCCTCTGTTTAGGAAAAATCGGACAACTACCAATATCTGTTATAATATATATATTCGAACAAGAGGTGTGACCACGGAAAAGAAAAAACGCCCACCGTGGGGCTCGAACCCACGACCACAAGGTTAAGAGCCTTGCGCTCTACCAACTGAGCTAGACGAGCTCTTGTCATATTTCACCAACATTTCTTATAATACAAATAACTGAGAGAAAACACATTGCAATAACTGCGAGAGAACACATTGCACCACTAGTTATGATATATTAGAGAATTGATCAGAAAATTAAATAGATATAAATAGGTACATACTAGGTTAAGTCTCTACATGCATAATATATTTATATTAAACTAGCTTTTGTAATGCAAAAATAGAATATAATAGAGAAGAGCTTTTGACTATTATTCTTGAGCCTTTTGGATCTCTACTTCATTAGGCTTCTCTAGTTTTTTGCCTTGTTCCACACCATTTTCAATGTTAACATGTTTGCAGGCTTCATTTGGTCCTCCACCAACACAACTCTCATTGGAAGATAAGGCAACTTCCCTTGTCCAACTTTTCAATGTCTCCACAGCTGCTTCATCTGTTTTATATCAAATTGTAACATAAATTATACTCACAAAACAGATAGAAAGAAATTTTATTGATCCCATTAATTTTTAGTTTTTTCTTATTCGTTCCTATGAGTTTTCATCTTTTTGCTTATTTGGTGACTCAAATTTACAACCTCAGAATTGTACGAGGAGGGTGCGTATTGTCTACATAACCTACTCTTTGTCAATTTTTAATTCCTTCGCTTGTAATGGTAAGAAAATGAATTTTAGGTTCAATTCAAATAAATTGTGTGACTCTTATTTAACACCCCAGCTCATGTATAGGACTAGACATCTAAAGCATGAACACATAAATGTTGAGATAGAATCAACCAAAAATTAACTCAAGAAAAAAGATTGCCCAAAAATCATATAAAAAGACCACTCACTCATCCCCTATTTGTTCAATGGAACTACTCAACTATTATAAGTTTTTTTATTTTTCTCAATCTCCAAATACTTCATATCAACTTGTAAAATTTTTAGTAAAAGATAAGACAAGACAAATTTGTAATTTCACTTGCCTATTCTTGGCACAGTGTGGCCTTGAGGATGCCTTATGATGATAGGATTCTCAAAATCTGTTGTAAGTTCTTGTGAAGGAAGTTTGAGCCAATCTTTCTCTCCAATAAAATGAACTGATTTAACCTTCATCATATCTTTGTATGCAATGTTACAAATATTTGGGTCCCTAAATTTGGCACCTGATATTGATACAAATAATTTCATTGGTGGATGCTCTTTCAGAATCTCCCCCTGTATAAATAAAAACGTATAAATTTCCCAAATTATATTGGAAATTATGAAGTAATTTTGGCTAAGAGTTGAGGTGATACCTGCTCCATGTACCCTAGTAAAAGGCCTGATAAAGTTGCTCCCTGCACCAAGGGATTATTCAGTAATTTGATATTTGTGACAAATTTTAAAATTAGATAATCAGTTTGGATTTGATTTGAAATATTACTACAATTTACTATAACAAAAATATTTTTTATGCTAAAGTCTTTACCGACATTATTTAAGTGTCATCAGAACCAATATTGTTACAAAGAGAGTGTTAATTGCCGCTAAAAATACATATTTAGCGACATTTGTGAATTAATTGCTGCTAATGATTATTTTTTGATGTAGTGATTTGCTATTCAGGATTCCCAGACTATTGAATTATTTACTTAATGAAAATCGTATATCAAATAGGTTCATTACTCATTAGTACAAGTCCAAAGAATAAGTTAAAGATTAAACATTTTAGTTGTGTCAATTTATTTTTCTTGATGTGTTCTTATTTGTTGATCTTCCATTATAATGTGTTTCTACATTAAAAATAAAAATATTGAAGCAATAGTAATACACTTGGCTTCAACTTCAATTTAGTATTATTGAATATCATATCAAATCAAAATTTAATTTACTGATTACCGAATAATCAAATCATAATTTAAGAATTCTATATTCAAATATCTACCTTATTAGGCGTAAAAATAAAGATCTCTCGTAGAAAGTGAACAAACCTGGGAGAATCCGAGAAGACCATCAAAAGGCCCTTTGCTTGTTATATACTCACACAAGTACGTAATGCATTCTTCTAAGTTCTCATATTCTGTGAAATCCTGAGAGGAGGTAAATCATTGTTGGTAAAAATTGATTGAGATATCAATCTGGATTGTGATGTAGTGGTGTCATTGCTCTACTTAAAAGGAGGAGTTAGGTAGAGGTTCATGGATTTCGAATGAATCCGATTGTTTTTTTTTATAGATTTTGTATTTATAATAAAAAATTAAATTAATATATATGTATATTAACTTGTGAACTCGGTCCCGTGATAAAAAAAAAATGAACTGTGAAAATACTTTTCAATTAGAGTACTTGTGGATTTGAAACCCTCTCTTTTAGGACTTCCAAACTTTAATCCCGACTTCATCTGTGGCTCCATAGGTCTTGGGTTCGAGCCTAAATATGGAGGCAATTTCAACATTACTCGTATAAGATATGGAATTTGTCCGCAATCCTTAGCTAATTTGCTGCTAAAATGCTATCGAATCTTCTTATAACTATAATCCATAGCTAAATGAGATTAGCATGAAATTTTTGTTATTTAGCTACACGTTTGAGGTAGGTATTTACCTCATTATACTGGAACCACTCAAAATATGGTGGTGGAAATATCCCCTCAATATCTGATTTACCCTTTGCTGCAAATATTCCATCTGGAAAATCCTGCCAATGTATATTCATTTATGATTTCAAAAATTAAACTTTGATCTGTTACATTATGTACAAAGAAAAATATAATAAATTAAATATAAATATGTAACATCATACCATTTCAGAATTAGCAAAAATAGAAGGATCCCATTTGCTTAATTGTTTTTTTAAGAAATTTCCACTAGTTCTAAATCCATGCAAACAAAGAATCTTCATCTTTTTTTCTTCTATTATCTCTTCCATCCTCTAATGAATGTGGTGAATTTAGTTGAAAGTTGAAGAGTAGTGTGTATATATATATATATATCTAAATACTCAAAAATACAACTACTCACTTTGAAATAATTAAAGCCAATAATATTTTCGGCATATCAAATTTATTTAAACTCAATATTTTTTATATAAATTTTATAAATTTATGTTAAAGTTACAATAAATATGAATGAATTATTTTTAAAATATCATTAATTAATGTATTTATAAAAATTAAAAAAATTTAAATTATGAATCCGATTCTTCGCGAGTAAACTAAAAATGTAAAGTGGGATCTATGTTCTATTGGGAGAGTTAGGTAATAAGAGTGGCTGGCAGGTGAACACGTGATTCGCAACGGCTTTGCAACTATTAATAAGTGTAATGCTAACTCTTGAAGTTTGTCTCAAATATTTAGAAGAACATTATTATGCATACGTTTTATTATTTCCTAAATAATTTTAAATTGGTATTGTTATACTTATTTTTTGATTCATCCTAAATTTTAGAAGTAAATATAGTATCATGTATCAATTATTACGTGATAAAGTGTTTTTTTTCTCATTTAAGTTTTTCTTTATTTTTATTCTTTCTATTACTTTTTGATTTGTTTTTTTAAAAAAGAAATTAATTCTAAGTAAATAGAAAAATAATAAAAGATTCCCTTAAAACTATGTGAAATAAATATGTGAAATAAATGAAAAATATGACTTTGACAATTAAAAAAAAAAATCTTCAATTGTAATTTCAAATATTCTATAATTGTTATAGCTTATAGGTGTGGTTTTCTCTTTTTAATTTGGGGTTGTTAGTTATAACCTTCAATTAAATATAAACTTAATAATCCGTATCTAACTCACATGTATCGTCGATAGATATATCTGAATGCCACATATTAATAGATATATTCGTTGTGAAAAATATGGTAAGATTCATAAATATACAAATTGAAGGGAATGGAGATAAACTAGGTACAAAATAAGTGAAATATCTGTTAAATGTAGTGTATTGAATTCAAATTCGATTTTTCGGTCTTACCAAAATAAAATAGTCCAACACTAATCCAAAAATTAAAATTCAAATCTTAAAATCGATAGTTATTTATCAAATCAAAATTAAGGATAAAAAAAATTGTGTTTGAACAGTAATATGTTCAGCCTTAGATTTAACAGTTTCAGTCTCCCATTCAGCTAATTCTCAAACTTCGAGCGAAAGCAAACTTTTAATTCGAATGACAATACATCAAAATTATGTCGATCGAAGTTCTTAAAAAATGCACCATACACTCATGTCCGAAAAGCAACCGCATCATACACGAATGAACCGCCAAAAAGCTAGGAAATACAATTAAGTTTTATTTTTAATTATATTTAAAAAAATCTTTTTAAAAAATGATCAAATTTTCTAAAGCAAAAAATTATCATAAAAGTTGTCAATGTTTTGAGTTTCTTTTAATTATATATAGAGGGAACTAAGGAATGATTAAGAATTAAAATTTTAATTAATTTTAAATATTACATTTTAGGAATTCTTATCTTTTTAGTTAAGCCGTTTAGTTTTAGATCCGAAAAAAATTGCTTGATTTTATTTATTAAGTTTGTTTGTTAGAATTCACCTATATATATATATATATATATATATATATATATA